ATGTAACCGGTTAGGAAGTTCATTGTACTCGATTAGTTGATCTTAAACTGGACAATCTCCTAGCTGATGTAACCGATTAGGAAAAATCCTGTAACCGGTTAGATGAGATCCAATCTCATTTTCTCGAGTTCTTCAAAAAAAGCTAAGACAGATCTAAAATCTTAATATTTATTTCTCTAACGGTTACTTTCACATTTAATGCTTCTTAACCTACTCCAAAAGTCATATTTGAGTAATTAATGCACTTCATCTTCCTCCTCACTCTATATAAGGACAAGCATTGAAAAAACTTGTTACGCGGTTGAGAGAACAATTTGAAAAACCACTCAAGAGCATTTACTCCAGTTCTTTTACATTCAACCATATTAAGACTTGAGCTTTATTCTGATTCATTTATTACTCTAGTCTTATGAGGTTACATCTCTATATCTATCTTGAGAGAGATTCAATCTTGTACTTTAACTACAATCTTTTCTACAAACTTGTAAGGGTTGGTGTGACCCAAAGAAGCCTAGGGGAAGGGTGTTCTCCTAGCAAGAAAGAGAAGCAAGGACTTGCTTCATGTGAAGGTTTGCTCTCCACCCTTAAGGAGAAGCTTTATTGGATTGAGAAGTCTCTAGAGGGATCTTGAACTGAGGAGTAGGAATTTCCGAACCTCGCTAAAACCTCCGTGTCACTGTTTGCAATCTCTTATCCCTATTTCTCTTACATTTATGTTTTGTATGATTTATCTACCATAATTGTTTATTGCATACTAGTTGATTGAAAGTTGAATTTGTAAACTTAAAAAATTGCCCATTGACTCTATTCACCCCCCCCCCCCCTAGAGTCAATTAGTGTCTAACATATGCATTGAATTCTCACTTATACTCTCATATAATTGCCAAACATCATTTTCATGCTTATCAAGGTTAGAACCACCCATAGATACATCAACCATACCCTTGCGAGTATCCGGCAAACTTTCAAAGAAGTATTGAACTAATTGCCACTTAGGAATGTCATGATGGGGACATTTCCTAAGAAAATCATTAAACCTTTCCCATGCCTCATGAAACATCTCCCCATCCCCTTGAGAAAATTCTCGAATTGAAGTTCTCATGGCATTGGTCTTTGAAACCGGATAGTACTTCTTCAAGAACTCTTGTTGCATTTCTGCCCAAGAAGTTATCGAAAAAGGCCTAAGATTGTTGAACCAATATTTTGCCTTGTCTTTAAGGGTAAAAGGAAAAAGTTTGAGTCTTAAGACCTCTTATGGCATGTCTGTGTATTTCACGGTGAAACATACTTCAAGAAACTCATCCAAATGCTTGTAAGGTTCTTCACTTGGAAGTCCATGATTGTTGGGAAGCATTTGAATAGTTTACAGTTTGATCTCATAGTGATGTGCTCTAAATGGGGATAATTGAATGCATGTAGGTACATTATATTCATTTGGCACATAATGATCACGCAAAGCAAGAGGAGGATTCACAATTGGAGGTGTTACAAGAACACCTTGATTTACTTGAGTAATATGAGGTAGGGGTGGAACAAAAATTGGCAGAGGCATTCCCAATGGAACTTGGCCTTGTTGTGGAATGAAATGTCTTGGCATGCCTAATGGTACTTGAATATTGTCATGATGCACATTAGGGTGGAGGATACTTTGTTGGTCGATGTGACCAAGGTCCTCCACATAGTCGTTATTTTGCTCATCCATTGGAAAAATTGAATGATGAGAACTACCCCTTCCCCTAGGGTTACGAACAATGGATTCTAGAGTCAAATTAAGTAGGACAAGAGTAAGACTTAATGACCTATGACCATGCATGCACAAACAAAACATAAACGAGCAATAAGTAAGTAGCAATCACTTCGCCTCCATAACAAATTAATACTCAACAATCCTCCACATATAATAATCCCATACTACCATGCTTTGAACAATATGTAAGAAAAATTAAATTGCCTTCATGCGGGCTCACGATTTATCTAAGAAAGTAAAAACATGTCTCCATGCGAGCCGACGATTTAACTAAAGATTGAGTTTAGAAAAGCTCACAAAGGGTCCATAAGCAACTTCAATTTAGGTTTCAATTTTCAAGTTTTGCTATGCCTTGCAATTTTTTAGCTTTTAGCCTTTTATGCTTAGCTTAGCTCCTTACTTTTCAATTCTCCTTTGCATCACTTCCTTTGCTCAATTCACCTAGCCAATCAAGAACAAACACAATAAGTAACTAAAATAAAATAAAGTAAAAATATGATCAAAAGAGTACTAATTCCTAATTGTTTCCAAAACACGGCGTTGCCAAATGAAATCCCCGGCAACGGCTCCAAAACTTGGTGGGTCTCGTCGCTGTTGTACACCAAAGTTGCAATGAAAGTGTGGCCAAGTTTAAAATTTATAAAATGCCACTACCACTTCTAACTAAAAATATAGTTAGGGTGAGTAGGGATCGTCCCAAGGGATTAAGGGCAATATTTGAAATGGAAACAAGGTCGGATTAGTAGGTCGAGTGATCAAAAAGTGGTTTAATTGGTTAATTAAACTACAATATAAACAAATTCAATACAAAATAATTAAAGTAAATAAATGGGTAGAGAACAAGAGAGAGGGATCTTGGGATTTAGAGGTCACCACTAGACATCAGCTTTCTAGATACTCAATATGTAATGAATGAGGGGAAATATGTGTTGCAATACTAAGGGGTGTGATTGATTGAATCAACAAGTATGGATGACTAATTAAGTATACTTTGTCTAGACAACCTAATGAATAGCACCATATATCAAACTAAGCCATTATTCCTTCCATTAAAGCTCACAATTAAAACACATTAACAAGCTAAAAAATTATACTTCTTGCATTCATAAGCATGGAACATCAAACAACAAGCATAGATTGTCCTCAAATCTAAGAAAGTAAGACAACTACACTACAACTAAGCTAAGGACATGAAAATTAAACTAATTAAACTAAGGTAGATACACAATCCATCAAGAAATGAGTATGAACCATCAAACAAACCACAAGAGTATTCCATTAAAGCATCATGCTTTGACAATCTCTAGATTCATAGCATCAACACACATAGACATGCATCAATAACACAAAACCTATAGATAAACACATGAACATCTATTCTAGCATAAATAGACATATGAGTAGAATGAAATGATCAATTAGAAGTATTAATCAACACAAATCATTGTAAAAACAAAATTCATATATAAATCAAATGTCAAAATAAGATTACAACATAAATCCCCTCAAAATACAAAACATCAAGATCTAGAAGGCATACTTAGGGCTAACTCTAGCCCCAAGAAGATGTTTAGCCACTCATTGATGTAATCATCCAACCCTCAAGGCCCATCTCCATTGTAGGAATTATCTTCTTCTTGATGGAAACCCTAGATGAATGGAAGAACTCCCAAATGGTGTATATCTTTCTAATCTCTAGCCTCCTCTCTAAGATTCTATTCTCTTCTATATGATTCTCCTCTCCTCTATGATTGTCTATGTGCAAAATGGCTCAAAATCCATATATAAGTAACTCAAGTGTCACACCCAATGGTCAGGTCTTATGCACCAGGGCTCCTTCAATGATTGCACCACGAGCCCTCTTTTAATGAGCTGGACTCTATTTTTATTTTGAACTTGAAGGAGTTCAATCGATCAAATTCTGAAGAGATCGATCGAACTATAGCTAGATCCATCGAATTCTGATGAGATCGATCAAACCTTGGCGGCGCCTTTTTGGAATAAGACAAATCTGAGATATTTTTGGGATATTTTGGAAAAAAGACAAAAGTGGTTAGTGGAGATAAGATCAAAGAAATTCGATCGATCAGAGAATTGTTGGATCGATCGAAGAAGTTACTTTAGTGAGGAAAATGACAAAAGGTTCGATCCATCTAGAATTGGTTGGAATGATCACTGTGAGATCGATCTGGGCTTGGTCAGATCGATCGAAATTTGTTGTTTTCTACCACTTTGCTTCCACTTTGCTCATTTCTTCCACTTAGCTTAAGATTGCTTCTTTTATGCTCTAATTGGGCTGAATTGACTTATTTTGGGGATAGGTGCCTGAAAAGGACAATAACATGAAATTAGTTTAAAACGGTAAAATAAGATAGATAAAGATTCTAGAATACTCGAGCTTAAAGGGTTTAAATGCGCATTTTTCAGCACTCATCATAGGCCCGTCCAACTCTTCACTTATAAAGAGTGCGGATTCCATATTGAGCATTTGTGTTCTCATAACTCTAAAATTAGCTACCCAAGATACAACCATGGTATTGACCTTACAGATCTCACAAAGTTGTAATTCAAAGTGAACAATATTAAAACTTGAGTCCACTAAACCCCTCAGGATTTAAAGCCTAATAAATTTAGTATATAAAAAGCAAACCAAACTAATGATAGTAATTTGTATGTGTGTGATGTTATGGTGATTCAGTTTAGAGTAGTCTAAGCACACTAACACACTAAATTAGTCAACTATCCCAATAGTCGAGACAAATCGTCTTATCTCATACAAGTCAAGTATGTTACAATCTTACAAATAAAGTGCCCGACTGCGAACAATACCAAGGTACAATAAACCCAATGCATGAATATTATATTTAATAATAAATCACATTTATTAACAAAATATCGAATATTAAAATTAACAAATTGACTTTTAGAACACATAATCCAAACAACATTAGCATCATTCTTCTTGTTTTCCTTGTGCAACCATTATTCTCTTTCTGATTATCATATTTAGTATAGCCATTCTTAACTAATTTCCACAAATCAAGAGAGAGAAACAATGTTCTCGTTTTACCACTCTAAAATTAATAATCTTCACCTTTGAGAACAGCTGATTGAGAATTATAAATAGAATTACCTGTTGTTGCCATTATTTCTACCTTAACCCCAACAACATTATCATCATTTCCAGCTCATCGTTGACTGTTAGACTTTTGAATATTTGAAATAAAATACCACGAAGGATAAAGACAGCATGTTTAAAATTAAAATGTCTCTTTTATTAATTTTTGCTCCTCCATACAAATATGATATTACATAGCTTCCTTAAATAAACAAACAAATAGACGAAAATTATTTGATAAGATAGAATAGAGATCACAAGCATGCCTTACCCAAGACATTCTCTTTCCATGTAAACATGTTCAAGTTATATAAAGCACTAGGGCTAATCACGGATCAGATCGGTTCGACTTGAGGGTAAAGTTCAATCCGAACTGGCTCCCACGAATTTGTGAAATTTGAAACCGAATCAATCCGTGGGGACCTTCAGTCCGAACCGAACCAATTCGTGAAATAACGGATCGAATCAAATCTGTTTCCACGGATTGGGCTTTTCAAACAGCCCAAATATCTTCTGCAGTTGTCATCTGTCAAGAAAAGAAATTGTTCCATCAGATTCAACTACTTGTGGGACTGAATACTTAACCTATACAAATAAATAATAAATCATAATAAAATCTATGCATGTGTATATTGAATTGCAGCATAGATAATTCATGCACAGTGTGCCAAAAAAGCATAATAATAATAAAGTAAATAAACATCTCAAAATATCATTTAGAGATTCATTCAAGCAAAAAGCCAAGCCATTACACAAAGCATACTCTCACAATCCATCAAATATCTTACTTTTTCATATTCGGAAAAAATGTATTATATCTTTGCAGGGCATTATCTAAACCAAAAAGAAAAAATTAAAACCATACGAGGCATTTTACAACCAGAGTATTCAAACAATTTAATCCAATTGAAAATGAATTAAATGGCTAAAACGAAACACCCATATTATAATATTATCAGAAGCTATCTTACCATCCAAAATCAATTATCTAATAACTAAAAAGTGAAAAGGAACATTAGTTCTAATTTTGTGTCTTTATTGGAAACAGACGTAAATTGAAGCAAAAATCTTCATCCAGTCGAAGAAATTAGTGGAAAACCATTACAAAAAATAATATGATTTGTTGAGAGAAGAGAAGAATAAGAAAATCCATGCAAAAATCTTGTGAACTCACCAGAAAAGAGGTACATCCGGTCTCAGGGGTCGCCTAAGGGTGGCAACTGGGCGGGTTTGGAGCGGGTTTCCCTAAATCCCGCCCCGCCCTTTTTAATTTTTGTCAAGTCCATGCCTGCCCTAAGACCCGCGACAGGTTGGATTTTCATGTCCAGCCCCGCCCCGTTGGGAAATACTGTGCTCCCGTGCCCGCCTCGCTAACAAATTTTTTTCTCCCACTTTTTAGAACTTAAGCTCCTGCTATTTAAATGTGGAAAGCTTGGGAATGACACAACATAAATGAAATTATGTATCCTAACAAAAATAAAAAAAAATAATATGCACATAACATAATTCAGATAACATAATAAACAAAAATAAAAGTTTAATACAACCAAATCACAAAAAATTCTAAGCCCCAACTTCCACCATAACTAAAACAAAAACAAATTTAATACCAAGTTTACATCACAAATTAGGATTATAAGAGATGGGTAACTGTATAAGCCGCTAAGATAAGTTATTAATATGATATATATATATATATATATATATAGATATAGTTATATGCTTAGCGGGGCAGGGCGGGACGGGGCCCCTAGGATATGTATATTGAACCATTACCCGCCCCGGACCCGAAACGGGTACAAAATTTGTATCCATGTCCACCCCAACGGTATAAAAAGTGTTCCCATATCCTTTATTAACGGGGCGGGGCCTTAGCGAGGCAGTAAAAATTGACATCCCTAGGGTCCCCGTTGCTTCGATACACAGAGGTCACCGTTATTTTGATGTATTATAAGATGAACGGTGGATTGAGAGGTGTTGGATTGAGAGGCAAGAGATTGGGAGGCGTGAGGAGGAAGACAGAGACGAAGAGTGAAGATTGAAGATTAAAGACAGAAACGAAGAGAACTAAAGACTACGAGGCTAAGGGAGGCGTGACTGTAATGAAATGAGTAATGAATTTGGGGACCTAGGGTTAACTTAAAGAATATTAAATAATAAAAAAATAGAAATACAGTAAGTATATTCAACATTGTATATATATATAGTTATATATAAATATATAATATATTATTTCGGTAACAGATCGAATCAGTTAGGTTAACGGATCGGATCAATTTTTTAGGGCCCAATCCGTTAACTGAACCGCGAATAGCGGATTGTTATTTTTCTAAACCATCACCAAATCATGAGATCTGAAAATCGAACCGAACCACATGAATCGGATTGGTCCGGACCGAATTGACGGATTATTTGCTCACCCCTTTAAGCACAAGCCATTCTTATTCATTGATATATATGTATATACAGGGGTGGCTCAATCTAATTTGGGGCCTTAGGCGAAAAATAAAAAGCAACTTTTTCAACAATATAAATAAAATTAGTATAAAATTAAAAAATAATTAAAAAAAAAAAAAAAAGAACCATTGAACCTAATTTAGAAAACCCAAATCCAATACTTCCACAAATTTTTCAATAGAATAACAATGCGTTTATAATAACTGTAAACTTGTAATGAAAGTGGGAGGAGAAGATATGTTGAAAAGAAGAAGATAAAATATTTAAAATATATATATATATATGAAAATTTGCCATTTTCTCAAACAACAACGTTAAATAGATATTTAATAATCTACTGTTGGTGTAACTTATCCAAAAATGTTTTTAGTGCTGGAAAAAAAAATTTAATGATACAAAATTTGGACCTAATATTAAATTTTTATATTTGTTAGGATTTATTGTAAAATGTGAATGAGAGTAAAAAAAAGGGAGGAAAAAATGGTCATATAAGGATGTAAATCTTTGTGGCCAATATTAAATTTATGTATCAATTTAGAGTGCAACGGAATGAAGGAGGAGAGAGAAAGGAGAGAAAAAATATAGGGAAAATTACATATAAATGGAGTCAAAGTTCCATATTTACTTAGAGGCTGAGTCAAAGTTCCATATTTCTCTAAAATGGATTGCTGAGGTGACACATGGTTTTTTACTGTTTAGAAATTGTGGTGCCTAAAATACCCTTCCGCGAAAGTACTACTTTTTCTTCGAAGGTACTACTTTTTTGAACTGAAGGTACTACTTTTTGGCGTCCAGGTACCATGTTTTTTAAACACCCGCGAATGTACTACTTTTTTGAACTGAAGGTACTACTTTTTTGAACTGAAGGTACTACTTTTTTGTTAGGGAAGGGCATTTTAGGCACCACAATTTTTTAAACAGTAAAAAATCATGTGCCACCTCAGCAATCCATTTTAGAGAAATATGAAACTTTGACTCATTCTCTAAGTAAATATGGAACTTTGACTCCATTTATATGTAATTTTCCCAAAAATATATATATATATATATATATATATATATTATTTTAAGATATAAATATTTGAGGCCTAATATAAAATCGAAATGAATGAAGAGAGGGAGAAAAGAGATAAAATAAGTTATTTTAAGATATAAATGTTTGAAGCCTAATATAAAATTTTTATATTTATTAAAGTCTAACAATATTAGGAAATAATTATACTATAACTTAATATAAGAAAATTTTAAAATTTTGGGGTCCTGGGCCTTTCGGTGACCGCCTAAGGCTCAATCCGGCCATGTGTATATATCTATCCATGTGTATATATCTATAATTTAGCTCGCCACTTTAAAATTTCCTTCATTTTTCATATGCATCAGTAACTGAAAGCAATATGGTATTTAGGCTGCTTATTAGGACTGAACAGGCCAAAATGTTTCTCCGTCTGCTTCCCAGTCTTTTGGTTCTCGTCAAACATGGCGAACAAGTAAGTTTGTATAGCCCTGCCTGGCTTCTTTGGAGTCCCACCCTTGACATGATTAATCAAATTTCTGTAGTAAGTGCTTGCATTGTCCACAGTTGCTGCTGCATTGCCACCCCCGGACGGCCAGCCACTCTCCGACACCACAATCTCCAAATTATGTCCACCTACCTTCTCAACGGCAGTGTACAGGGCATCCAACAATGCATCAAAAAGGTTTTGATATCCTAATGAACCGTCGGTTACAACTACTCCTGGTGCAGTAAACAAGGCATAAGGAAGCTGAATGTTTTGGGTGTCACCAGTATAGGCAAAGTAAGGGTATATGTTGGCAAGTAATGGGGCATTATTGCTAGCAAGGAAGCTGATGATTGGCTCCATGAACGACCTTGCATTGTCTCGGAATGCCCCATTTGATGGAGGGTAAGAGGCGCCCAAAAGTCCCGAGTACGTTGCTGTCGAAACCTGTGGGAAAATAAACTTGATTTTAGCATCCAGTGTTTTCAAGTTTTTGGTTTACATGATAAATGTGTATAGATTAATGGTAAGAATAATGACAATTAGTCAGAAAATCGGATGTATCCGATTGTTTGAATATTGATAAATAGTCCCAAAATCATATGTAACAATTGTTTTATGTAAATGGGATAACATTACTTTAAATATAATAATATCATCATGACTTCATTCCCTACTCACATAATTTTAGTCGGATCTGTCCGACTATATCTCCGTCTCTATTTAGTTATTCATTTCGTAAATTGTGACTTTGTGAGTCATAATTTACGAGATGAATAGGGATGGAGGTAAATATTATATTAGATAAAACAAAATTATTTCAACCACTGACATAACCGGAATTGTCCCTTGTTTCCAAGAGAGGATGGCGGGGGTTATTCACATGGTGAGAGGTGAATTGAAAGCTAAGCAGTAATCATTCTAAAGATTCCCCGATAAAAAATTAGAGATGTTTCCTACGTTAGCGGTAGTTAATTATCCAATTAGTGGGCGTAAATGTGATAAAAAAAAAATAATAAAAAAAATGGTGGAAGTTATATACAACCAAAAGATGAATGGAAGTTAGGATTACTAAAAGCAATGTCAGTGGAGTAATGAGAGTAATTGAGCATTTATACATAATTAGTTAGATACACTGGTTAGATACACGTCTTTGAAGCTATATAATCATGCCATAGATGAAACTTATAACTCCTCTCACATAATTTGAATTCGTTAATCACCAAATTCGATCACTACGTAATATTTTATCAAAGTAGTATAAGAGCAAAGCAAACAAAACCTTGATTTGTTCTTGTAGTCCGACTGCTACAATGGCGCTGTGGATGTTTTTCATGGCGGGAAGAACAAACTGGACATACTGAGCATTACCATTGTTGGGATCTACTTCATTTCCCACAGAAATGTATCGGAACTTGACATCGGGTGAGTAAGCTTTTACATTCGTCTGGACCCATTGAGTTGCAGCTGAAGCATCGGATGCAAGCGCTTGAAGGCCTGAGTTGGGGACATCGAGGATGAGTTCTATGTTGGATCCTCTGAGGGCCTGCAGAGTAAACGGGTTCGGGTCATAGATTCGCATCCTTCCGATGCCATTGGATTTGTATAAGTCCACTGTTTCCTGCTCCGATGGCAAATTGTTGCCTAGTCGTCCATTGCAAACACCTATGGATTGTGCACCTGCATGTGTATGGAGTTTATTAATTGGAGAAAACAAATTATTACCAACACTAGGGTTACATAAAATGGTGTTAACATGAATCTTAGGAAGCTGCATAATGACGAGAAAAATTCTTGATCACGAGTAATAAAAATTCAAAAGAGCCAAAATTGTTCTCGAGAATTTTAAATTCAAACTAGGCAACATAGTTTCTTGAAGTATAAGGCGTACCAATAGACATTAGTCAATATGGTATGATATATCAGGTTGAGTATTTAAACAGTGCTAAAAGCAATATTCTTTGTATGTGCACTTGCTTAACCTTTCAAGACAAAAAATAATAATATCAGTTCTTCTGGAGTATAGCATCTACCAGATCGTGTGAAATACTTACTGAAAAATTAATAATAATAATAATAGAGACTTACTATTTACAAGAAAAATTATTATTTACTATGGTGCATAGAATTTTTGGTCTATACTAAATCTCGAGGAAAGTAGAAGGCAATAATGACGTGTAAATGAACTTTAAAAAAAATAATGACTAGTAAATACTAGTATGTTCTTCTCATTCTCAAAGAAGATGAAAGGGGTTCAAGTCCGAATGTGAATAAAAAGTGTTTGTATTTATTGTCAAAAAATAAAGAAAGAAGAAAATTGTATGCGCACACTACAAAAATCACTTATATGGGAGCTTTTTGTATATATGTGATATTAGTGTGTGCATCTGGATGGAGATAGAGAGAAACCTGCATTGTGTATGATAGGCAACAATACACCAAGTAGTAGTAATTCAAAGAAAATAGCCATTGAGATAGAAGAGATGAAGAAGTAATTATAACCAATTTTGCTATTTTCTTGGAATGCAAGATGTATAATATTGCAATTTCTTCATTCCTTTTATAGAGGCTAGGAGGTGAGAAATTTGGCATTGAAAACGGGTCAAGTACGATATTGGGTCGAAATAAATCAAACCCGGTCAAGTACGCAATGAATCCAATTAAATTTGTTAGTTAATGTTAAAACTTAAAACTAGGTCCACCAGACTCATTGAAGACACACCGTGTTCATCAGTTTGAAATACATCTTTCGATCTGCCATCTGTGTATATTTTCGTATTTGAAAAGTCTTCCATGTGACTGCCGCCTAACATTTTTAAGTGCCCAATATATTTAAATGCTCTGACCAATTCCTTGTAGGACCTATGTTTGAAAGTTTCTCTCAACCAGTCATATTGGGAAAGACCTTGTCGAATGACGGTTTTTTTTTTTTAGCTTATTTATCAGCATAATTTTAATATAAGATTTTTTTTTATTAAATAATAAAAGTGGTATAACTAGAATTTGTCTTTTTTTTTAATTAAATAATAAAAGTGGTATAACCTATCCTACTCCCACAATTAAATAAAGTGCAGGGACAAAATAAGGAATAGAAATGATATACTAATTACAAATTTATACCGGAATAGAGATGGAATGCAAGATGTATAATATTGGAATTTCTTCATTCCTTTTATAGAGGCTAGGAGCTGAGAAATTTGGCATTGTAAACGGGTTAAGTACGATAGTGAATCCAATTAAATTTGCTAGTTAATGTTTAAACTTAAAAGTCTTCCATGTGACTGCTGAGTGCTGCCTAACATTTTTAAGTGCCCAACATATTTAAATGCTCTGACCAATCAAAACCGGTCATATCAGGAAAGACCTTGAGGAATGACCTTCTATTTTTATTTTTATTTTTTTCACCTTGAGGAATGATTCCGCGATTAGTAAGATAACCTACACACGGTAAGTAGACAAGCCTTCTCTTATTGAATTATTCTATTTATAATAATTAAATATTTCAAATATAATTTTTTCTTTAATATAACATATTTTGTGTCACTGTAATCACAACACTAATTATAAACAAATTATAAATTGTTATAATGTTGCTTTGGAGCACTGAATGGATGCTTTTGATTTAAAATTAAAGAAAACTAAGTTTAAAATTTTAACTAAATTTCTTTAATTTTAAATCCAACAAGCTGATTAGATACACCTAAACATAGCAGCATGCAAGTCTCAATGAAATTGCATTACATTGTAATTAAATCTTGTAAATTATCCAATATGCTTTATTTTCCATCAAAAATGGACCCTAAAAAAAAACAAAAGAAGATGATGATGATATATGCCGTAGATAACATGAAATGTTTATGTCATATATTGATCAATTATCCTTTTATGTGGACTAAATTTATTCTAGGAGAAAAATATCTAGGGTGATCCATTTTCAGGGTTCAAAGAGGGAGAAAGAAGTCCAAGTCTTTCAATAGCACATCTTAAGTGTAAATGACTAGCATCCCCCTCCACACTGCAACACAAGTTGTATCACTTAATATCAATGAAGAAGACGAAGAAAAACAAGAATTTTTTGTAAGCATGCCACCGTTTAAGTCAAAAGTCATTGAAAGGAAATTTTACTATGCCAAACGTGTTTTGCTTTCTTCTGTTTTGCTTTTCAATGTAACATTTTTTACATCACCATACACGCTTTCAGGGCCGCCCTGAGACACTCAAATTTATTTTAGGAGTAAAATATCTAGGATGGTCCATTTTCAGGATTCAAAGAGGAAGAAAAAAGTCCAAGTCTTTCAATAGCACATCTTAATGTGTAAAAGACTTGCATCCCTCTCCACACTGCAAGACATGTTGTATCATTTAATATCAATGAAGAAGACGAAGAATAACAAGAAATTTTTGTAAGCACGCCACCGTTTAAGTCAAAAGCCATTGAAACGAAATTTTACAATGCCAAACGTGTTTTGCTTTTTTCTGTTTTGTTTTTCAATGTAAATTTTTTACATCACCATACACGCTTTCAGGGATTTATTCTAGGAGTAAAATATCTAGGGTGGTCCATTTTCAGCATTCAAAGAGGGAGAAAGAAGTCCCAAGTCTTTCAATAGCACATCTTAATGTGTAAAACACTGGCATCCCTCTCCATACTGCAAGACATTTTGTATCATTTAATATCAATGAAGAAGACAAAGAAAAACAATAAATTTTTGTAAGCATGCCACCGTTTAAGTTGGAAGTAATTGAAAGGAAATTTCACTATGCCAAACGCATTTTGCTTCCTTCTGTTTTGTTTTTTAGTGCAACATTTTTTTATATCACCATACACGCTTTGTGCTTCTCTTGACAACAATGCAACACAACGTGTTTAATTTGTTTTAAAACACTTTTATGAAAATAACACCACCAGGACCTTAATTTTGGACAATTGTTTTGTTGGACAATTATTTTGTTTCAAGATCATTATTTTAACATAGTTTTTTCTTGATTTCACCTAATAAGGTAGGTAGCAATTATATTACTATGATAATAGTTGAATGACAAAAATGAAGTGAAGGAGTATTTAATTCCAAATTTTCATTCTTGGTGCACAATTACCGTTTTTCTAAGTTATTTTCATAAATTTGTTAACACTAGTACTAACCATAACTAATACGAATTAAAAGTTATTATTAATATGAATCACAACAGGTAATTAGTGTGCCCGGTGCACCATGCACCAGACACATCAGAACCGTTCGTGCAGTGCACGCACGGGAATGGACAGTTCTAATAGTGCACCGGGCACACTGGATATATTATCCTATACCATAATGTGGAAGAAATTGAGATCCTATTTCGATGCCCAGATATTGGCAAGAAAAATTATCCTTTTAGCGACTCCAAATGGTGGGCGTTGGAAAGTTAGCTCAATTATGACAACCACTAATGGGGGTCGCAAAAACATTACTCACAAAATTTCCCCTCCCTTTTTTTTTTTTTTAACCCTATTTCCGCTCGTTTTTTTCCATCGCAAGGGGGTAGAAACCATAATTTTTAGCTTAAATTGGGCTTTTTGACTGCTAAGGGGCGTTAGAAAAATATAAACCACATCGTACGTTCCTTGATTCTATTTTTTTTAAGATTAATATTGTATGCATACATATATAAACTATACTATAATTGATTTTTAAAATTTTCAAATTTTGGTACCCCAAAACCAGAATCCTGGCTCCATATGTGTGCCCTCTTCATAACTAAATTTAGTTTTAGAACGGTGTGTTTGTACTATTAAATGGATGTGATATCTCTCTTCAAATTTAATAAATGTTTTATATATAGATGTTATGTATTAGTTCAATTCGGTATTGGAATTGGTTTTGTCCACTTGACTACACAAGTAATTTATATGTATGTTATGATGTTCGTATTACAGGAAAATATGAACAGCAAAAAATTGTGTTATCATAAATGGTTCATATTCAGTGACAACTGATGGACTCTTTATCAATGAAAAGATAAGATGTATCAATGATAAGTTGAGACTATTATGAGAGCCATCGCATACAATTATTTCTTACCATCGTCATGACAAATGATATTCAAGCATAAGAGAGGTATAAATTCTTTTATTGATTAATGATTACTTCGATTTACTCAGTGGGGTCTATGGTTCTAATATATAGTACTTTGGGTAATTATTAATTAGTAGCTTGTTTCAAATTTTGCATCGATGCTATTATATTTATTTTGACTCAGAATTCGGGAAATTTTTTTTTGTTATCACAACTAAATTCAAAGGGCTCTATGTCTTTTTCATAAAATTTGGTATTCATATAATTTAATTTATAAATATATTATTTTATCAAATAAATATTTTATGTGATCAAATACGAAATAATCAAGGTGTCAAAACAAATAAATTACTAAAGATGTCGAATTAGACATTTATTTATCTAATAGTTAATTAAGCATTGAGTGGTCTTCAACCAAATTGGCTTGCGTTTGGCTTTTTAAAAGCTGCTTTTGGTTTTTTGGACTAAAAAGCTATTTTGAGCGGTGTTTGACAAATTTATTAAAAGAGTTTTGAGTCCTTGGAAGAGCATTTTAAATAACCTGTGGACTCAGCTTTTTTCAAAACGTTCTTTTGAAACAACACGGGAAGAGTTTTGGTATTTTAATGAAACTTTTTAAATGACAAGCGTACCCTTTTTATTACTTAACAAAAAAATATAATTCCAAACGTATCCCACCCTAATATTACAGATGTCACCTCTTCATTTTCGCCTCTCCTCTTTCAAAAAGAAAAAAATGAATATCATTACATATCCCCCCTTCATGCTGAAAAGATTGATCTGATAGAGCACTAAAACGGAGGGAAACCCATAAGAAGATTATTGTTTGGCTTCTCTTCTTTGTTGTTCAAGCTTCAATAAATTATTAAATTGCGGAATCCTAAGTAAGCCACTAAAGGATGGGAACAATATATATACACCTATTGCAATCTGTAATTCAATTTTTGATTTCTTTTGTTTTTTTTTTTTTTTGTGCATATTCTCATATTCATTACCATCCATCATATGTTTTTTCCCTTCAATTTTATTTTGTCTCAGTTTTGCTTGTAAAGCTAGGGGTGTATATACAGGTAATATATGTGTATATATATTATATGATGGTTATGAAAAAAATCTCCAGGGCTAAGGCATAGTAAAAGACATAGTACTAATCAATGACGATCACAGCCAACAAGATAAAGAAAATAAAATTCCTTCTTTAAATTTTTTTTTTCACCTCAAAATTGAATCGGGTAAAAATGAACTTATATGGAAAGGGTTGTTTTTTGATTTCCTTTTCACTAAGTAAAGTGTTGTTTTTACTTTCCTTCCATTTTTTAATTTGTTAAGATACTATACAAGAAAACAATTACAAAGTAAGTTATATATTAGGTTGAAAAAAAAAATAAGGAAAGAAAGATAATTAAATAATTGACTGTAGGAATAATTTCTTTAGAGTAGAATTAATTTTTTTATTTAGATCA